AAGTCACTGACACTTGTAGAATCACACCATAAATTTTATTAATACACCTGCATATTTATTAAAAAATATTTATTAAAACACACTAAACACTTATTAAAGCACAGTAGGTAATACAGGGACAAGCACAATATCGGTAAAGTAAACCCTTGACTCGTACCGGTAAGTGTTGACAGGACCGATCCGACCGCCTCGACTTCCAAAACAAAACTGAGCACCGGCGACCTCTTCAAGTGTAAGTGCGATTGGTAGTTTACAGTAGCCAATTAGACATCATGTAATGGACCAATAGCGTGCAACCACTATGATTGCTTGTTGTATAACTATTTAACATTAATTTTTTTATAATTTTATACTTCTCGATTGTTTATTAACAAATTTATTGTTATAATTAAATAAATTTATTATTTTTTTTAACTTACTTTTGCAGATATGTTGCAAAATGATTTTTAACAAGTATATGACGATATGTTTTATTGTAATTAATAATTTTTTAGTTATTTATTTATAAAATTATTGTTGTAACTATTCAAATTCATCGTTTTTATTAACTTATTTTAACAGATATGTTGCAAAATGATTTTTAATTAATATTTGCGATATATTTTATTGTAATTAATAATTATTTAATTATTTATTTATAAAATTATTGTTGTAACAATTCAAATTCGTCGTTTTTATTAACTTACTCTAACAGATATGTTGTAAAATTATTGTTAATTAATATATTGCGAGATATTTTGTTGTAACTCATTAATATATAAATTAATTATTGCAATTCATTATTTTAATAACCTTCCCGCGCGAATACCTTGTAAATTCATATTCGAATGTATTTTTATATAATTTTTTATAACTACTTATTACCGAAGAGATTCAGTATAATGTGCGAACTATTTTGAACACATAAGTTTCATGTTTTTTAAAAAGTTTCATTTTTATATGTTGTTAAAAATTCATTTACGCGCGGTTTTTTAAAAAGTGACGTCATCAACGAAAATGGAGCAAACCGCCATCTCTCCGGCGAACAGGGTGAACTACACGTTTTTGAAACTGTAGTTTCATTAGTTCTCCACACTGCCACAGGACGGCACCACGTGTCTTTTCCCTTAAATTCAATTGATATAGTTGATTTTATTAGTATAATTAATTAAGTAATAATTAAAACAGAATCATTTTTAAGATAATATACTTGAAGAAGTATAAGAACACTTAGGAGGAATAAGACGTACCTGTAACGAGATCCCTCGATGTCAACCATTAAATGACTATTTCAGCAGCATGAACCATATTCAAGTAAACAGTAGGTTCAACTTAAAATTCTTCGAAAAACTTTTAAAAAAGCCATCACGATCATTTATTTTTCATTCCGTTTACGAATAAAATTTTGTAATTTTTGACTTCGTAAAAAATAGTACAAATAAGTGCCAAAATCAAGTGAGTAAATTAGCAGGAATGTTATAATCGTAATTAATCATAATGCTTTTCGATTTTCTTATAATTTTTAATAATTCCTTATAAAAGCTTTATTTACAGTAAACTTATATACGCATAGAGGAAGAATGACAATCGAAAGAAATATACGTTCGGGAAATGATCAGGTTTTTTATTTTTTATTGCTATAATACAATTTGATTGTTGTGTAAAATCTGTTGTAATATACTTAAAAAAAAAGAAGAAAAAGAGAGAAAGGTATCTATGCTTACATTATTAAGGAATAAAACGCGGAAGCATAGCACAATAGAACAGAACAACAACCCTATTGTGAACGTTAGATTATCTTTATTATTACATCTGTTTAAAAAGACATAACTTATAAAAAATATGAGGATCGGGTACCGGAAGTAATGGGACGATAGGGAAGGGACAGGGGAAAGAAGTGGCAGGATACACATAGGACCGAAACAAATCCTTAGCTTATGGAATAGTTAATACTAATAAAACTCAGTACTTTTTACAAGTTACAAGGAATAACAAAGATCTATCATAATAATTGGGAGTTTTCTAACTTATCATTTAGATAACTGTAGATTGGAGGGGTGTAACTTATCCGTTGTCTTTTTTCGCTTTTACAATTCCTTATTTTTTGCTTCCTCTTATCGCTGTAAAAACATCTCTGTTTGCCACAATTTTGAACACATTGATCATCCTTAATTACACCTGTTCAACAATCTCTAAATTTACGTACACATTTTACGTACCGATTACAATGTTCGATGTTCGACGATCGTACACGACGGAAAATATCAAATTCGTATGTGTCTTTCAACAACAGCTATCGAGAACCTTAACCGCGTTATTTATTGTCGAATCTCGTATCAGATCTATCGCAATATACTATCGTAGAAAAAAGTATAAAGAAGGAAAAGTATCAACACGTGTCTTGATATTTTCGTCGTTCGCTATTTGGCAGACTTTTCGTGGCTTTAACAATTACAAAGGCAGTCGCGTGAAAAATACACTTAATTCGTTACAAAATTTCTATGTATATGTATATATATATATTTATATATAAATAAAAAATATTTCTCCTTAGGAGCATACAGGTTCGTGAAATAGTCGTGGAAATTGCGTTGGACCCTCGTGTTCCATCGATCGGAAAACTCCTCGCACATCTCTAAAAGTAATTCAGAATTGCATGAAGGACACCTGAGCGCGACGATTCCTCGATGCAACAGTCAATTACACACGCGTGTGCGCGCGACAAACAAAAAATATATATATATATTTATTCAATTACGATTATTTAAAAAACTGTCTATCGGTTCTTCACACTGTGGCAAGTCGAAGGCACCATTGTTCGTTGAGCCGCGTGTTACCACGAGCAAGCGGGGGAAGTAATATTATCCGGAAGAAGGCACAATCGTTGAACGAGCACGTTAAAACGGCGTGTGTTTCCGATCCAAAGAGAACAGAACATCTCCTCGCGTACATATACATATATAAAATTACTCGTCTATATTTATATTTATAAATATATATATATATAGCAGCCGTAGTAGTGTACGCATTTCGTGAACGCTCCGTCGAGGACGAAGTACGTCGTCCTCGTTCGCATTTTTATCCTCACAGGAAAAAAAGGAGACAAAGTAGAGATAGAGCGTTACGAACGGTCGCACCTGCGGATCCCTACGCAAAGATACCAACAACAAGACGCTACGAGAAAAAACCATAGGCGACGATCACCCTCGAACTCGACGAGTCAATCACAGGCAGTTCATGTGCGCTTTTCACGGCTCACGATCTACTCGTGCGAGCAAGAGAGCATCGCCGGCTTCATATGTAGATCGCCTCGGAGCCTTTGTTGCTTTGGTGGGCAGCCCCGGCGCCGTACGCGTTCGGCGATGCCATGCACTCGGACCAGTCGCTGTTCGAATGTGGGGAACTGGAAGACCAGTGTCCTGGACTGTCGGGCGACGGTGTCGGAAAACTTTCGGGCGCCTGCATCAGGTGTTGCGGTGTGACGTCGGGTCCGGAGTGATGAGACGGTGGCGTCAAGTACTGGTAGTACTGTTGCGTCTGTTGCTGCGGCTGTGGTTGTTGCTGCTGCTGTTGCGTGCTCTGCTGCTGCTGCTGCTGTTGCTGCTGCTGTTGTTGTTGCTGCTGCTGCTGTTGAATTTGCTGCTGCGTCTGCTGCATTTGCTGCTGCTGCTGTTGTTGTTGCTGTTGTTGCTGCTGCTGTTGTTGACTCGACGAGTAAGGAAGATTCTCGAAGTCAAAACCTACCGGTGGCATTCCACCGTGTTTCTGATGTGTCGCCTGTCGCATGGCGGCGATGTGCGTAGGTGAAGTGGGTAACGACGGCCTGCTTTTCGCCGGAGACGGTGAACCCATGTAACTCGCCTGTGGCGACAAGGTCATGTTCGACTGCACTGAGTGTGGCGGAGATTGATTACTGTATGGTGGTGACAACGTGTTCACCATGCCTTGAGCTTGCCGTTGGTGCGGCGCTAACAGTTGGTCGTGAAAATTAGGCAGACCGTAGTTAGTCGTGAACGTGTCTAACCCCAACTGCTGAAGACCCTGCATGGATTGACCCTTTATGCAATCCTCGTACGGTGGTGGCTGTTTTGCCGTGACCGTATGACCCACTAGAGGTTGGGCGTTGCTGTACAGGCTCGCACTGTCGTATGGGCTCGGTAAATTCCCTTCCGCGCCCTCTGCTCCCTGAGGAATTTCTTGATTCGGCGGCTGAGCACCGCGCTTCGCCGGTGGCTTCTTTACCGACGGCTTTCGCCTCACCACTACAACTCCTCCTTCCGAGTCGGGACTGTTTGGGTTTCCCGCTGTCCCTGTTTTCGGTCGTTTCTTCGATTTCGCCTGCTTCGGGGCGGAACCGATCACCGTTGGATGCGTGATGAGTTGTGGGTGATTTGGAGATCCTGAAAAAAGCATTGCATATTTTAAAATCGTTGAATATTTTTAAATACACGCGTATATAAATAATACATTAACAGTATAACACTTACCCATAAGAGGACCGTTTGGTATCATGGTGACCATCTGCGGGGATCGAGGCACGTGTTCGTCGAGCAATCTAACGATGTCGTGATGCAATCTCTCGCTGGCTACGTCCCTTGGTAATCGATCCATGTGATCGGTGATCTCTCTGTTGGCGAATGTATCTAACAATGCCTTGCAAGCTTCGAAGCTGCCTTCTCTGGCAGCAAGGAACAACGGTGTCTCGTCCTTGTCGTCCTGGGCGTCTCTGTTCGCGCCGTGAACGAGGAGTATGTTTACAGCGTCAACATTGTTAACAGCTGCTGCCCAGTGCAGAGCCGTTTTACCGCTGTTATCGGCTGCGTTGATGTCCGCATCTGCGTTAATGAGATCCTCCACCATTCCCTCGGTGGCTAAACGCGCGGCTAGAATTAACGGTGTAGTGCCGTCGTGCATACGGGCGTTGAGATTCGTTGCCCTGTTCCTTAGCAATATCTGGAACACTCCCATCGCGTCTGCAGCGACAGCAGAGTGAAGAGGTGTTCTACCAGTATTGTCCTGGGAATTGGCGTCGGCTCCAGCGTCGAGGAGCCTCTTCGCAGCATCGGCTCTGGCGTATCTGGCCGCCAGGTGAAGAGACGTCTCTCCGCTCTTGTCCGTAGTAGCGTTTAGGTCAGCACCTTGAGCGACCAAGTCGGCGATCACAGCAGCTGTACCGTCACTCTCATCCTCTTCTTCTCCGGTGTCCAACCCTCCGCCACGAACCGCAGCCACCATCAATGGCGTCATTCCACAGGGTCCTCTGGCATCCACATCCTGACCGTGTTCGAGACTAGGTGGTGTCAATACTCCAGCGTCGGGTCTACGTATCTCTGCAGCATCCAAGTGTTGCTGAGTCCACATGCGAGGTTCCGTTTCTTCGTAGTCGGTGATGGCTGTATGATCGCTGGCGTATCCAGGCTCTATCGCTCTCATTCTCTTGGACGGTGGTAAGTCTGATTCATCGTCGGACCACTGTTGTGCTCTTCCGTTTCCTACATCCAGGTCCATGCAGTTCACTGACGGTTGTTTGTTCAGATTTCTCATCTCTTGGCCATCCGGACCTCGTCTTCTGGATCTTCGACGCTGCCCACTTCCGCTGCTGGTGCGAAGGAAACCTTCTGGGAACCATGTGACTCCCACAGCCCGTTTCCTCTGTGCCGTGACCAGGACACCGACGAGCATTCCTCCGAGTACCACGATGACCACACCGATGAAGACATACTTGTAGTTGGTTGGCGTGTCCGGGTATTCTGGACCCTGCGGACCAACCACACCTCGAACTTGTTCGATGGGGAAGTTTCGAGACAAGGAATGCTTGGACGCGGTTGCTGCCAGGTACTCTGCCGCCTCGTTGGCTGAAGGGAAACATACTGCTCCTTGCGTTACTGTACATTTCCTGTTGTCGATCTCCAGATAAGCAATCACACCGCTCTGGGTGTTGGTGTAAACCGTTGTTGGTCTGCCGAAGAAGTTCGTTTGGAGACTTGGTTCTTTTTCTCTTTTCCAGGGATATATCATATCATTGCCCAGTTCGTCTTGCTTCACTCTCAACGTTGTTCTCAACTCGTGGCCGATGTCCCTCAGGAAAGCGACAACGTTCGAGCGGAAAGTTTGCATGTCCATTCTCACCACCACGGAAATCACTCCTTCAGCTAAGGAGGGTGGTTCTCTGTCGCAGTCGAGACCGTCCCAGTTGCACTCTTCATTATTACAGCCGTAATCGCAGTGTCCATTGGCATAGTGTTTGCGGCAGTAGGCGTCGTAAATGGGACTGAAAACGTGAAAATTCGCATTAAGTAAAAATGTTCATATCGAAATATAAATTGCAATAATTAGATTATTAAATTACTATAATTATTCAAGTTTAAAGTACTTACTTGCACGGTGCTAATTTTCTTTCGCAGTCCCTTCCATCGAACAGACACTGAGCGTTGTTGCAAACCTCGTCGCAGACATCGTTCATGAAGACATCCCAGCAGTTGATCGGAGCTGTGCAATTGCGCCACGGATTGATCCCCAAAGAACAATCGTTTCCATCAAAGTTGCAGGCGTATCTGTTGCACTCTTCGTCGCAATGATGATTGCCGGACTTCTCTTCGCACCTGTTCTTTATACACTTCTTCCGTTCCATCTCAAGATCAAGATCGTACTCGTTCATAGCTTTCGGAACATGCGAGCTAGGATTGCCAAAGATGCCACCTCCATAATTGGGGTCGTAAATTTCGCAGTTCTTGCCGGTCCATTTAGGCGGGCAGTCGCAAGCATAATCGCCAATAAGATTCTTGCAGACGGTGTTGGACTGTTGGCAAGGGTTGCTGGCGCACTCGTCTCTAGCATCCAATTCGCAGTGGGTTCCAGTGGTTCCAGGAGGACAATAGCATCTGTACCCAACTTCGGTTTCCGCAACTCTGCAAGTACCGCCATTCAAACAGGGCTCTCTGTCGCAATAGGACCCCGCGAACTCGCAGTTGCTTCCATAATAATCGCTCTGGCACAGGCACGTGTGTCCAGCTTGTTTGGCCGTGCAAACTCCACCGTTCTGACATGGCGAACTGTCACAGAAGTTCACCTTGACTTCACAGTGTCGTCCCATGTAGCCAGGTTTGCAGTTGCAGTGATAGTTGTTGACGAGTTGCACGCAGTCCTGCGTTCCTGGCGACGCACACGGATTGGACAAGCATTCGTTGATGTCGCCCTCGCATCTAGGACCAACGAAACCCGGTGGACACTTGCACTCGAACCCGCCAACCTTGTCCGTGCAGGTTCCATTGTTGTGACAAGTGCCCACAGCGCAGTCGTCGACGTTGAGTTCGCAGATGAAGCCCAAAGTTCCAGGTGGGCAAGAGCAGCTGAAGTTGCTGATGAGATCGTGGCAAGTACCACCGTTCTGACAAGGATTCGGCCTACAGTCGTCCACGTTGAGCTCACAGTTTTGACCTTGGAAACCTTTGGTGCACTGGCACTGATAGGACCCAACCAAATCCTTGCAGGTAGCGCCATTCTGGCAAGGAGCAGAGTCACACTCGTTGACTTCTTCTTGACAGTAGGAGCCGGTGTATCCCTCCAAACAGTGGCAACGATGACTGTTACCGATATCCTCGCAACTGCCATTGTTACACAGGTTCTTCTCGGGTACTCCCTTTCTGATCGCAGCGTCTTTACACGAAACCATCTCCACGTCGCAAACTTTGCCCGTCCAACCGGGCGAGCAATTACAGTGGTACTTGTTCTTGTGCTGCACGCACGTGGCCTGGTTCTCGCAAGGATTATCCGCGCACCAATCGACATACTGGTCGCATCTGGCTCCCGTGTAGCCGTACGGACAGTGACAAGTGTAATACTGAATATGATCATGGCACGTGGCTCCGTTCAAGCAGGGCGAACTATCACACTCGTTGATACGATACTGGCAGTTCGATCCTGTATAACCCGGCTTGCAAACGCAGGTATAGTTGTTGATACCGTCGATACACTTCCCGCCGTTCATGCAGCTGCTGTCCGTGCAATCCTCGTCGTTCGTTTGACAATTTATCCCAGAGAATCCGAGCTGACACTGACACGTGTACGAGTTCACGTACTCCTTGCAGATAGCACCGTTCTGACAAGGTTGCGACAGACACTCGTCCACGTCGATTTCGCAGTGCTTGCCGCTGAAACCATCCACGCAGAGACAAGTGTAGTCGCCGATACCGTCTAGGCAGGTGCCACCATTCTGACAGGGAACTGTAAGAAATTCATTGTGGTTAAATTACATTGAAGAAATAGTGAACCGAAGTGTTGATTTCAAGTATGTACTTACAGGAGGCGCAATCGTCGGTGTTGATGATGCAGTCTCGTCCTTCGTATCCTTTCGCGCAGAGACACTGATAAGATCCGTTGGTGTTTCTGCAGGTAGCACCGTTTCTGCACGGAGATGTCATCACGCACTCGTCAACGTCCTCGTCGCAGAGTCTGCCGGTGTAACCGACCGAACAGGTGCAGGCGAAGTCGAGGAAGTTGGATGACGGTGAACACTTGGCGCCATGAAGACATCTGCAATCGTAAAATGATGTTAGGTCAAGTTTGACATATTAATGGATTATTTTACTCCGGATAGAGCTAGCTGTGATACTGGCGAATTTATTAGTCCCTGACTTATTTTTAGCAGAACTTGATTCCTGACTAGTGTAGAAATCAGGGCAGGATTGGTTTGGGTAGAGGTTGGAGTCAGGAGTATTTCTGTATTTCTATATTTTAATTCCTAAATTTTCCACGTTTCCAAATTCTTAAATTTTTTAACTTTCAACTTTGTAAATCAATTTTTTAATTTTTGAGATATTCTTAAATTTTTTAAATCTTGAATTTCACAATTACTAAATTATCAATTTCTTAGATTTCTTAATTCTTTAGTCTATATTTCTTATATTACTCAATATACAAAATTGTTAATTCAATTTTTCAAACGCTAACAAATCTCTAACTTCAATATTTAAATTTTCATTCCTAAATTTTCATATCCTTAAATTTCCAAATTCCCAAATCTTCAAACTTCTAAATTTAACCACTCGAAATCTCTACATCTCCCTTGATAGCTCTACAAGAGCATTGGAATTTAGGTTCTCCCTTCCGGTCTCCAAACCAAAACCTCACCCTCTGCAGCCAAAAAAAGTAAAACCTCCATTAAAAATGTTACAAGGTTTAAAGGCTACAAAGTTGCTCTAATCCAAAGAACTCCTCTGCGAAATAGCTCAGTATGGTCTGAGGCTAAAACACAGCTAGCTACATCGGGGTCCACGTTACTTATCCATAACCGTTGAAGCCCATACTTGTTTGGTGAACAAGGATCTAGTTTATCCTCGCAGTTTCTGCCCGTGTGAGGCAGCTCGCACACGCATTTGTAATCGTTGACAAGATCGATGCAGGAGCCGCCATTCTGGCAAGGATTGTTAGCGCAATCGTCGATGTTCGTCTCGCAGTTCGTTCCCGCGTAACCAGGCAGACATTTGCAGCTGTAGCCGTTGAGGTGATCGTTGCAAGTGCCGCCATGTTGGCAAGGATTCGAGCCGCACTCGTCGATGTCCGCCTCGCATCTTTTGCCCCCGTAACCGGGCAAACAGTGGCAGATGAACTGATTCACCCCGTCCTCGCAGGTGCCGCCATTCACGCAAGGATTGCTCGCGCATTCGTCCACGTCGCTCAAACATCTAGCGTCGTAGTAACCACGTGGACATTCGCACCGGAAGCCGTTTATCAGGTCTATGCAACGACCACCGTTGGCACAAGGGTTGCTGGCGCACTCGTTGATATCCGTCTCACAATGCTGACCCGTGAAACCTGGCTCGCACTCGCAGGAGTACCTACAAGATCATGTGAGAATGCAGTAACAGCGAGGACTTTAAACTCACTGTTGCGGGGGTTATTAAGATAGTGCCAGCAGATCTGGATTTTCTAGGAAATAGTTGTACTCTCGCTTTTTGATTTTTGGGGATATGGGAATAGGTTCAGAATCTAGGGATTTGGGGATCAAGGTAATGGACCATTTGGACATTTGAACATTTGAAAGCCAGAAAGGGTGTAAATATAGACTGAGCTAGAAATTTGAGAATGCACAGTTAGACGTTTGGGAACTTGGGGATGTAAACATCTTTAAACTCAACAAATTTGAAAATTAGAAAATTCGGAAATGTAGAGATTATAAAACATGGAAGAAGCTCAAAGAAGAACATGAAAATTTTAGGATGTCACATTCTGGGAATCTGAAAATTTGGAAACTTAACGAATGCTTGAAAATTTAGGAATTTCAAGAATATCGAAAATGACTAAACCTTAACCAGAAATAAAATTATTTACCTGTTGATACCGTCGATGCACCTGGCTCCGTTTCTACAGGGATTGCTGTAGCACTCGTTGACGTTCACCTCGCAGTTGATACCGGAAGTCCCTGGTCTGCAAATGCACTGATATCCGTTTATCCTGTCCTCGCATCTTCCTCCGAACTGGCAGGGGTTACTCTCGCACTCGTCGATCTGCGTTTGACACAGTTTGCCGGTGAATCCAGGGAAACAATTGCAGCTGAAACTGTTCTCTCCGTCGATGCAGGTCCCGCTGTGGCAGGGATTCGATTGGCAGTCGTTGATGTTCGTCTCGCAGGAGGCTCCCGTGAATCCTGGAGGACACTCGCAGGTGTATTTCGCGATGGAGTCCTGGCAAATTCCGCCGTTTTTGCAGGGTGAGGAGGCACAGTCGTCTATGTTGATTTGGCAGTGGGAGCCGGCGAAACCGTTCGCACAGGTGCATTTGAAGGAGTTTATCAGGTCGGTGCAGACTCCTCCGTTCAGACATGGCTTTGCGGCGCATTCGTCTATGTCGATCTCGCATTGGGTTCCGGTGAAACCTGCAAAAAGAATTTTCATGTTTACTTCATCTGCTGTTGATGCTAACTATAATCATCCAAATTGTTTCAAGTTTATAAAAAGTTACAATTTTTTGAAATTTAAAAATGTTCAATTTGCTTTGAATTTATAAAAATGTACAGATTGTCTCATATCTATAAAAAAGTACATATTGTTTCATATTTATAAGACAGTTTATAAAAAGTTCAGATTGCCTCAAATTTATAAGAAAGATCAGATTGTTTCAAATTTATAAAAAAATACAGATTGTCTCAAATTTAGAAGAAAGTACAGACAGTCTCAAAATTATAAGTACATTGTCTTCACAACGAACGAAACAAACAGTGTAAAGTAAATTGTAAAACACGTCAACGATAATCGTTAACAAAGTGCATAACTGTATTTACCCGCCGTTGCACCTGAATTGCATCGCGCTAAATTTTGGAACGACGAAACGATCAAAAAGTGTTTAATCGCGTCGATTCAATTATCCTTGATGATTCAGGAAGTACAGCATCGTAATCATAAGTTCGTAACATGCTCGTTAGCAGACTCGAAACGAGTCATCGCAATTCGATCAATCATACAGTGGTTGTTAAGTGGAAGTGGTACGAAGAAAATTGTAACAGAAGGATGAATTTTGTGATTACGACGATACGTTACTGTTGAAACATTTTGTGAATTCGTTGATTTGAAAGTTAATCAGAAAGTTAAGTTAATTTTGTTTCAAATGAAGTCAATCTTAATTCAAAGTTGGGGTTAGATGTTAATATGTGATTCGTGTGATGAGGGTGTATCAGTATGATGAGGGTGCATCAATATTTTGTAGAATAAATTATTTCATTTGAATAGTGATAAATATTATATTTTGATCGATTATGTAGCATAGAGTGATAGCAGTAATTTTACATAATTATTTTTATACTGGCCTATGACTTTAATGTTACTGCTATTTACAGAAGATTGGGATAAGCAAAAAAGTTTCCTAAGATTTTAACCAATTTTTGGTTGGTCCCTAAGATTTTAACCAATCTTAGATTGGTTCCTCATATTTTAACGAATCTCAAATTCTCATCCGACCATAGCTGAATTCTTCCAAAACTGTTAAACTCTCAACAAGTATATCTCCTCTGAATTCTTAAAAAAATGTTAAACTCTCAATAAGTACAATTCCTTTGAATTCTCCCAAAAATGTTAAACTCTCAAGTACAACTCTAAAATTACAAAGTATTAAAATCTCATCACGGTACCAAAACACGCAGCACATCAGTTTCTTTCGGTCTCCAGGAATAATCCACCGCGTTCCACGATTCGGTATACTTTTCAACAGTTCCCCGCAATTATTCAGAATTAAAAGAGACCGAAAAAGCAGCAACAAGCCAGCCTTTAGTTGTAACTACAAGGAGCGAACCATCCCCGGTCTGCTTCTTTCCGCGTTAAAAGTAATTCGGGAAATTACAAACATCCTCGAGGGGCGAATAAAGTCGTCAGTCGGCCTTGAGGCGTAATTAGCCTCAATTAAACGCGCACCAAGCTGCGAACGAGCGAGACTGGTTCGGATGGACCGGATCGCATGGCTGGCAACTGCTAATTGTATCTTTGATCGATCGACTGTTTGCGCTTTGTTTCTCTTTTTTTTTTCTTTTCTTTGACTCTTCGACGCGTTCTTAGCCGTCGAACGGTGAGCGTCGATGATCTTGCCAATTATCGGTCGCAATTAGTGCCAGATGACTATCGTTCTGTCGATTCGGGGACCGGTGGATCATTGTGCGCTGTTTGGTTTCTTGGTTTTTTATGAGGAACATTTATTAACTTTGTTAAATTACTTTAGTTTATTTACTGAAGTTACTTAGAATGTTTATATTGAAATTTTGAGAGAACTTGATACAACTATAGGGTGTTTCATAAGTCATCTTCCATGCGAGGAAGGTTTTTTCTATAGTTTCTATTATACAGCTTTTTGGGCATTTTTATATCAGATTCTGAAGTATTATTACTTGGAGATTCATTGAGAACAATTTCTATTACTATAGATAGAAGTAATGAAATTTTATTTTCAAATTTAGTGTTTTCTTCTTTTTATGTGGGCTGAGTGATTGTTTTATGCAATTAGAAATCAACTGTTCTGCACTAAGAATATCGATAGAACAATTATGTAGACTTTTTTATGAAGCTTCAAACTTTAAATTGATATATCATAAGTGCCATTTTGTGATACTTTTCTGTCATGATATTATATCTGAAGTTAAATGTTTTAAAACCGATGTGCATTATGTTGATTGTTCCTTATAATTGGAAATCAGGCAATTTATACTAAAAATATCAATAAAACGTTTATGTAGGGTTATTTATGAAGCTTCAAGCTTTAAATTCATGTATCATAAGCGCCATTTTGTGAAACTTTTCTGTTATGAATTTTTGTGTCAGAATTTAAATGTTCCTAAATCGATGTAATTTAAAGTTGATTCTTTCATGTAATTACACAGCAGCCATTTTATGTTAAAAATATCAATAAAATGCTTATGTAGGGTTCTTTATGAAGCTTCAAGCTTTAAATTCATGTACTGCAAGTGCCATTTTATGAAACTTTTCTGTCATGAATTTTTGTGTCAAAATTTAAAAGTCTCAAAATCGATGTACATTAAGTTGATTCTTACAAGTAATTAAAAAGCAGCCATTTTGTACTAACAATATCAATAAAACGTTTATGTACGATTCTTTATAAAGCTTCAAGTTTTAAATTCATATACCACAAGTGCCATTTTATGAAACTTTTCTGTCATGAAATTGCATCAGAATTAAAACGATTGAATCTCCCTTGGCAAGCATAATAAACTAATTATTCGAAGAAAATCAATGAATCGCCTTAACATTGTTTCCAATCGAGTAAGCATCAAGTTGCCCTCAGAAATATCAACATCGACAGCCAACCGGATGACGCGTGGATTTTTATCGTATTTACATTGGTTCGATATTTCTTCGCCTTTTTTCCCCATTCAAACAATGACCACGGCTAATTCAGTTGTAAACGCACGTACACCGCGGCGGATCCTCGTCGTTTCCTCTCGAATCTTAAAGTCTCCAAGCAACCAGGCAGCATGAATCATTGAGCAGCGTGCACTGATTTTTCTTGGCGAGGAAATTTGTATGTTTAATTATACATTGTTGCTGTAAGAACTGCCGGAGGAATAAATAACATCAAGCATTACAAAATAAACCTACCCTCATTTCACGACTCTACAACAATATTTTAACCAAAGTTAAAAATAAAAGTTAAAGTTAAAAATCCTCGATTTTAACTAAAATTAAAAATTCTCGTTCTTCAAGAAAATTTCCGAGATTACGATTTTCATAATCATATAAAAACTTTCGCAAAAAGTCGACGATAATGCAAAAGTCATCACGTAGAAAGTAGCAGTTAAAGAAGCAATAACGTCTGATTGAAGAAGAGTCGCTAATTTCTGCAGACTCCACAAAGTCCTACCGGAATTCTTTCGCATTGTTCCGCAATCTTCAGTACCGTTAGTCCCTGCCGTGATTCGATTTCTGCTTGATTCGTTTCCGTATCGCGGAAACGATCCCAGGACAAAGGTCTACGAAAGCTACGATCATCTTCATCATCCCATACACATGATCCCCTTGAACGTACCTCCGACTTATGCTAAACCAACCTCGACGTCGCAAATAACCATTCAGATTAGGTCCAGAATTAAATCTGTACCGATTTCAGATACATGACCTGGGAGTTTCGAATGAAAACTTGATATATCGCCAGCGATTGTTCAGTCGAACGATTTCCTTCTTATTTTTGTTCACCAAAGAGGAAACAACGCTGATATGAAAATCGAGGAGAGACAATGGCGTGTTAACTCAGCGCTGAAAAATGTTTCTTTCAACCCCGCCTCGTATGTCCCGGGACGTCTTTAATAATTCAAATGCTGCGTGTTTCTGCGGACGTATTCGTATGGAAATACGCGGTCTGGCTTCTGACATTAACAAAATGTTTGCATAAAGAGTAAATTCTGAAAAAGTAGTGTGAATTCATGGACCTTATTTTGTTAGTTTAGCACAATTTTATTGTCAATATTTGTAAGCGAATTGTGGTATTATTTTTTCTATTCAAATTTTCTTCAGATTCCCAAACACAACCCTTTGTAGAACCAAAAACAAACTTCACAGTCAAAAGACACAAATTAGAGTCCTTTCACCTAACTAAACTCTCACCTCACATAATCAAAAATTGTCCTTCTACATTGAAAATAGATTGTAGTTGAAAAGTACTAGAAAACAATGAATAGCAGGTTTCATCCGCAATAAATTCGACTCCCCGGTTATTTCATCGTCTTTAAGGATGAACGAATAAGGCAAGAAACAGAAGAGGCGAGAATTCGATCTATGGTGGCCGTTGATCGTGGCAGCACCGTTTACTCCCACGTTTGGCCAGGCGTGTTCGGATAATTGTAATCTATTGCCTCGCCGGTGTTCTCGAAGCAGCCTACGCGCATTGATAAACTATGCGAAACCCAACACACGGTTCGTTGATGCACTCTCGGTTGTCCGTCCTCGTTTAGCCCCGGCTTCAGCATCGGGAGTGCCTCTCACCTGAACCTGTCCGCTTCTTTCGCTAGCGCTTCTGCAGTCAGCTAACGAGGCACAACCACGTGTGCGTACTTCTACGACGAAATTTGAATACGGCTTGTGTTTTCAGCTGTTTCGACGACTGATAAAAATCCGTGTGATTTCTGACTGTCGACAATGGCCTTTCAGGTTGTTTGTAGTTTGAGTTCAAGTTTAAGTGCATGTACTTGGGGAATAATAGGTTGGGTGAACTTTAATCACTCTTCACTTTCACCACCCTTTATTTTTATGCTTTGACTATGAGGGTGAAGACTTTTTGTTATGTTTATGGTCAGGATACAGATATGATAAAGATTGTTAAGAATAATATTGCAATTTCGTCTTTTAATCTGTTAGGTTATATGTACACATATGTACACATATG